TCTTGGAGAAAAAAACGAGAGAAACCAAAACAACAAAGTTCCGTGGCGGCGGGGAGACAGGGAAATGCGTGAGTCACCACTGCGGTTCTCGCTTGGGCCCACGGACACCAATCGCGCCGGATCGCTCGTGAACTCCGCGCATCGTTCGTGTGTGTGGTCCGGTGTGGGGAGTGGTAGCGTAGCTGTTAGCGCGCTGTGCTACGAACCCGACGGCCCATGTTCAATTCCCGCTCAAGGCCGACACCAGTGACGATTATCTAAACCGGTCTTGGGCCTCCCCTAGGTCAATCAGCCTGAAATGAGTACCTGGTGCGGTGTGTAAATATCGCCACTGCAGAGGCGGTCGGGCGTGGTGCTGGCCACCCACTCCCTCGTGTGCTGTTCCGGCCTTCATAGGTGCTCGATAACAGCACTTGTCCCAACAGTCTGTTAAGGCTATACGGGGGATCTTTGTCTTTGTGTGGTCTGGTGGGGGGGGGATGGCACGGATGACGGTGGGGGGGGGGCAGAGGGGGCGATCGTTTATTATTCTTTTTTTCCTCCCTCGTGAAACTTTGCAGCGTGGTTTATTTCCGTTTGCAACTCGCTCCTCTGCCGCTGTCCGTAATTGCGTGCGCAGCCGAGCAGTCCGAGAGGTGGCCTGTCGAGAAGGCCCCGCGAGACCGTGACGAGTTCCGCTTGCCCCTCCACTCAGGAGCAGTCGGAGGAAATGAACGCCGTTCGTTACACTTGCAGGTTGCCTCTCTGGTTTGCTTCGTGTCCACATTTTTAATTGGCTTACATTTTTTTATAATAATAATTATTCACTTGTGTTTTAAACACAATTCAACGTTTGTTTCCAACCATTTTAACTATTCGGCGTTCTGTTTTAATTTCGTGTCCAGTTTTTAGCTACCTTTCGTACTTTGCGTTAATAATATACAATTATTTTTTACATTTATTTTACCAGGTAAGGGCCACTGAGCTCTTGTTCAGAAGCAACCTAGCCACAAATGAAAGCTCAGCAAAGTGGCTTATCACGTGGAAATTCACAGCAGCCAAATATTCTAAATACATGACTTTGTTTCTAAATGTGGAGGGAAAAACCGGAATGCCTGGAAAAAAAAATCCAGGTGCCAACGGGAGAGCATGCAAACTCCAAATATTCAACACGCATCAGGGTCGGGATCGAACCCACGACCTCCTGTATACCGGGCGAGGTAGTTAACATCTCGCCACCGTGGCGCCCGGTTACGTTTTTGTCATATTTTTGGGACGGCATTTGCAGAGGAGCTGTGTATGTGGCGCTGCGGGCATGTGATGGGGGACCCGCTGCTGTTGAGACAGACGCGTCGATCTCCGTCATTAACAGGCCCTCTCGCGTTCAATCCATCGATTCGCTCGCCCCTCGTACACCTTGTGGTGTGAACGTTGTGCGGCTGAGGTAGTGGCGGCCCAGCAGCTCTCACATCTTGCGCTATGAACCCAATGAACCGAGTTCGATTCCCAAGCCGTGGCTAACAAAGTTGGCGATATGTATCTAAACCCCGGCTCTGGGTCGCCAAATCACTTCATCATCCTGTACTCACCGACATGGTGAAGTATGGTCAAACAACAATAAAACTGACGGGCACAGCATGAGAAGACCTTCATCCAGCTTGGATTGACAGAGAGCCGTACATCTATGCCTCGCATAGATGTACGTGTTCACGTGACCGAGGCTGCCACGAGAAGCCGCTAATCTCTTCGCAGAAGAAGACAAAATTGTCGTGTCGAATTGCCTCAAGCTGTTGCTGCTCCGGAGGCCCGGGAGATCGTTGGTCGACGTTGGGTCGCCGGGTTGACGACGGCGCGGGTCGCGATTTCTCACTCAACTGCGTGGGACCAAGCGAAGGCCGCTGCCAACTTCCGTATGCGTGCGTGTATTGTTGAACTGCTGATCGGAGGTGCGGGAAACTTCCAACGGTAGCAGTGGCAGCAGCAGCGCCGCCGGCATCCGAGGACAACAACACCACCGCATTGAGCCGCAAGCTGGTGGCAAAACATAACGACCCTAATTGCCTTCGGAGCTGCCAGGACGTGTCATGGGCGTCGGGACGAGCCGTAAAGCGGAAGATTTATCGCCTTCGCCCCACGGCAGCCGCGTGCTGAGGCGACAGCGGCGGCTTCTGCGCAGTGGGGGGCGGGGGGGAGGGTTTGAAGGGGTTGATGGGGGATCGGGGGCCCCCTGACGTGTAAATAGTGTTCGCCGCACACGACGCTCCCCGGCGAGCGGAGGCTCCGACCACAACATCGTCGACGGCGGGAAATGTATAATTATCAACGTGGGAGGCACTTTGCGCAACAACAACAAAACACGGAGCCACGATCGCGGTGCTCGTGGCGGCGATGATTTGAAATGCGGGGCTGTCTGTGCAACGCGTCGATATTCACGCTCAAGGGGGCGTCACGGCCGTTTGTAAATCCGCTGCTGGAAGAAGGCTGCGCAGTTTGACCGTACTTTTACCACGTCAAGTCAAGCAGCGCAGGTTGGTAAAGTGTGCCTCCACCCCCTCCCCCCCGAAGACTGATTCAGGTGTCACTCGCCGCTGATGTTGGTTGTGGCCAGGAATTGAATGCAAGTCATCGGGTTCATCGTGCAAAGCGCGCTAACCACTGCGCCGTCAATTGCCTAACGACCTGTCGATCGTGCGTCGCAATGATTCACCCCGCCCCATTCTCCGCAGCGATCGGATTAATCGCCACGATTCGTGGTGACAATTCCATTCCAAAATCGACCCTTTGTCCCGCGTTCACGCTCTCCTTCACATCGTTTGCTCTGCTCGCTTAATTAGCCTAAATGTAACATTTAGCAAAAGGGGTTGCATGTGATTTGCGCGAGCTGCGAATGCGCAATTCTCACTTGCATCATTTGCTGAAACGATGACATCGCTGCACGCTAAAGCTCGTAAATAAATATTCACAAACCCATTACACGTGACACTCAATGTCTTGAGGCTGCGTGGGGTTCTGCGGCCGCGCGGTACCACTTCACCGACTGCCTTTTCAGGGCTGTGCCGCGTATTTTTTTTGCAGCAACGTCCGTCGTTTCGCTGGGAACTTCTTCGGTTTGACGCTTCCCCATGCGCCCGCCGCACTCTCACTGTCGCTCTCTCTCTCTCTCTGCGGCGGTGGCTGCGGAAATTGCTGACTCTGCTCGGCACCCTAAAGTAGCGGCGCTCCATCATCAGTCTCTGCCCCTCTCCCTGGGCGAGGAGGAGCAGCGGCAACCTCGGGGTTAGCGGCGGGCGGCGTGCGGGGAAAACACGGAGTTGGTTGGAGGGGTGGTGGTGGTGGTGGGGGTCTCAACGACTTCCCGCACGTGTCACATGGTCGGCCTCCTACCGCTCCGTGTGGTTGCTTGGGAGGGTAGAAGTGGGGGCGGGGGGGCGGGGGGCCGGTGGGGGCCGGTGGGGGCCAGTGGGGGCCGACCACAAATGGCCGCACCAGTGGGGGCAGTGACAAAAAAGTACAAATAAAAAAAGTGCTCACGCAGTTGATCCTGTAACGCTTCCCAGCATGTTAATTGTTTTTCGGAAAGTACTTCGTTATATCATTCGTTAGGGTGGCTGTCAGGGCGGAATGCATTTGAAATATTATCGGACAGTCCTTTGTGCTGCGGTTTGTATCTCAAGTTTTTGGGAAAAACCCTTTGACTCACGTGGGCAGTTTTCAACGCATTAAGTCCCTCATAGCAACACAACTTTATTCTATATTGTCGTTCAGATTGCATCAACTTCACGTGAGTTCTAGTGCCCTTTCCCCCCGCCCACCCTCACACACACTTTATGGATGGACGTACGGACGACACAAAGCTAATGCATGAACGCATTCAACCTTAGCCGGAAGACATAGTAAGGGGAAAAAATGGAACATCGCGACGACAGCCGGAACGGGGCACAAACCGTGACTAGAAGTGCCGCAGTCCTTCGATGGCAGTGGGAAATGAACGAGGAGGGATGGCGGGGGCCTGCGGGCCCGGATAGCTGCGGCGTACGTAATGAGACGCTGCCGGTAGTTGCAGGAGGAAGGTGTTTGGGGGGGGGGGGGGGGTTGGGAAGATTGAGTGCCGTGCACGACCGCATTAGCGGTGGCTCAGCGATAATGCATGGGGACGGGCGACGCACGAGACGCGTGAGCGATTGCCGAGGGCGGCAGTGTGTGCCGCCGCCGCAATTTCCGCTGACGGAATTAGGATTCCCGCTCTGTGTGCCGGAGGAGCAAGGGCTTGGTGGATCGTGCAGGGATGGGAACCGCTGGCATCCTGGAGAGGCTGCCGGTCGTGTGGGGGTTGCGACGGGTGCTCGCCGGTGGGCAGGTACTGAAAGAGGGCCGGTTGCTGAGCTGTATTGGTGCGGGTTTGGAAGCATCGCCCCTGTCTCTGAGCGCTTTTACTTTCGTTTCTGGTTTGTTCCAGCGTTGTCCGACGCGCAAATGCCGTGGAGCCTCGGCAAGGCTTTCCTGGACAAATGAAGAATTATTTGACAAAGCGTAGCCAAAAAAAAAACGCTAATTAACTGAGGATTTGTCGTTTCAAAAAGTGGCCTTTAAATAAGCCTGTGTTGTGGAGTTTGCCACATCGCTGTGCTATGTTGTTGAGGTCTGGTGACATCAGTGGCTCAGGCTACGACGATGACATCTTGATGTTGCCGTGCCGTACTGCGGCGTGCTCCTTCAAACCCGTCCACGCGCGTAACCTGACTGTGCCGCTTATGCTCGCGAAACTGAATTAATCGTTGCAGTCTCATCAGTCAGATTTGCGACCGCCAAGGCCACCCCAGCTGCAGGTCGGCCGCGCAAACAACCTCGGTTGCGACGGGCGGCGCTTACATCATCCAGCACGCGCTCCTCTCCGTTTTGGGCACCGAACCTCAAACGACAGAACCGCACGCCTCTGCGTACGTTCTCGCGGTTGTACTGTGCGCTACACGCACAGTGTGTGAAACCTGGCTCTCCGTGGCGTTTCCCTTTTGCGGAAGCAGGAGGAGAAGGAGGAAAGAGGAAGGAGCTACCGGCGCGCGGAGCGAAACGTCGCGTGTCGTGCCGCTGCCCGGCAGGGAAGGAAACGCCCCGGGGAGAACCGCGTTGCTTTCGTTCCTACCGCGGGGGTCAGACGGAGCTCAGCTGGACTACTGCCGCTGGTTCTGCCCAAGGTGCATGTGCCCCCCCCCCTTAACTCGACTGCGCCTCACCCCCCCCCCCCAAGTCCGTCTTTGTTACGGCTCTCGTGGCAGGGGCTTTGTTACGGCTCTTGCGGTGAGAGATGAAGACATTGATAAAAACTGAAATGTATATATATGTTCGCGGAAAAAAAAATAGGCTGGTGCATAAAAATGATTTGTCGAGTGGCCTTGGTGCCTCCTCCGCCTCATTTTCGTCATTAATGAAGCGTCCAGTGGAAGTTGCGCCGACAGATTTACTGCGCGCGGCCCGCGCCCAAGAGCCCGCGATTATTTCCCGAGGATTAATTGAACGTTGCCAAATTGAAGATTAAGCTTTAAACGGGCGCGAGAAAACGTGGCAATTTTTTTCGTTTAATATGCTCGCCGCGTAAATTCGTTAAATAACGCGACGGTTTACGGAACGCGTTACCACAGTAGCCGGCGGCGGTAGCGTGAATATTTTCCACTGCCTCGTTTTTTTTTTGCCATTCGTGCCCCTCTAGAAAATGTACAAATAGCACAGTTAAACAAAACTATGATCGTTTCCTGCATACATTCATTTGAGTTCCATACTCAATAACCTGATGATGCGCAACGCGGTTTTGGCGAAACGTCGTCTTGCGAAGGCGGCGAATTCGGCCACCGACAAGGAGGAGGAGCTTTATCGGTCCGAACTTCATCGACATGCCGGCCACGGATAAACAACAATAATAATAATAATAACCGATGTGACAATATTGTCAGCTAGTGAAGGGCGTTAAACTACAGCCACGTGGCCTCACCCACAAACGCAATTTGATCAGTAAGGAAGATCTTTTGTATTCGGCTTCCTGGCGATCTCTGTCGGAGCTTTGTAAAGGCAGCTTTGAGATCCCAGCAGCCGCTACAGATTCCATGTTGGTGGCCAAATTTCATTGTGCTTCCGGAATTGTGACAGCTCATAAATTCATGTCGAGGTATAATGATCCATGGAGTGATCAATTATTCTTGATTCTCACAATAATATTCAGTCGAGTTACACGTGTAAGAATCAGTGTATTTCTATTGCATGCAAATTGTATGCAAATAATGTGGCAGTTGCATGCATACCAACGGAGTGAACAAAACCGTACAGATGAGACATAAAAATGGGATAATCGATGCAAAAAGAGACTTTCAAAAACGTAGACAAAATAATAAACGGATTCTTTTGCCTCCTTAATTATTTTAAAGTTCGAACGACAGGGCGATAAATAAGCTACGAACAAAGCAACAGTGACTTTTTATTATTATTTTATTTTAGTTTTTAAGTGGACAACTCACACGCGAGGAGATGTCGTTCAATGCAACGAAGCGACCCTTGAATCGAATCGCTGGCCCCGGAGTTGCGACGATTCGCCGAGCCACCAGAGGGTACGGGGTGCGAACCGTTTGATCCCCTGCTGGGTCATCGAGATACGGCACGGGGGGAGACGTAATGGAGTTGGCCGAGAGCGGTGCTTACCGCAGCAGCCGTCTGCCGATCATCGCGCTCCTGCGAGCGAGAGAGGGAGAGGCGGCGAGCGTCGAAATAATAAAATGAACGATCACAAGCAACTGGCGAGAAAAACTGCGCGTTTGGTCTGCGCCATTCGTCAGCGGATCTCCGCCGAGGCATCTGGTAGGTGTTACGTTTGTGCCGCTGCGCTCGAAAACGCAAACATCCAGAAATGCAGGTACACGTGCGTCGTCAGTCTTTGACGTGTGTCGTCAGAGCGTAATCGGAAGTAAAATGCCGTGCGGGAGGGCGTGTGCCGCAGTTTGGCGCCAGCTATCATAGAGTGCGGTGGTCGTGTCGCTACGGTTCTCTGTGATGAGTAGCAATGTCTTTAAAAATAGTGGCGCTGTGCCTTTCGAAATGAAATAAACGACGATCGAAGCGTACGCTTGACGGTTCAGATTTCATTTGTTTCAACCCGGCGAGGGGTCACAGAGGGCAGCACCGGTCTCGGTTTGCGAGAGCGGCGCAATGGCGACTATGCTCCCTGTGCTGTCGAGCTCACGACCGTTCGCTCACCGGGAGTGACACGGGGGCTCCGTGGGTGGGGACGGCAGGGGCGTGGGCTTCTTGAGCTTCGCTGAGCGTTCCGATTTAGCTCGGCCGTACGGACCTTGCGTGAACGCGCTTGCAAGATTCAACGGCCCATTGCTGCCGAGATGTAGCGGAATTTGGCCTCCGAGTCAGCTGAAATTCCTGAAAGGGATTAATTTTGCCCGTGGATGATGAGAGATGACCTTCGTCTTAAATCCCGGCGATGGTGACTATCATAATTATGGTGATGATGAATTGCATGCATTTTCAGTGTTCGCTCGTCTTTCATTATTAAGGCACCAACGTAATGGAACAAAGTTCACGAACAATCCAATAATGGTGATTGTAAATGTCTGCATTTAATGTCTCTCCTATAACGAACGGTGCAGTGCATTGCCCACCGGGTGTTGGTGAAGCAGCTAGCGCACTGCACTCAACGGTACAGGGATCATCATAAAACGTGTTATTTTAATTATTGTTCTCGTTTCAATTTTTTTTCTTGTATATTATTAAATCTATGTCATTGTTCATATAGCAATAAACAAGAGGTACCTAGGTCAGTGCTTGCCAGTGGGACCACCATTTCGGAATCCTGGCCCAGCCTGGCTCGAACACTCAACTGATGAGCTATGAACTCAGCAAACCCGAGTTCGACTCCATGCCACGGCTCATGTCAGTGGCGAGTGAAAACCTGAACCTGTTCCCCCCGACCTTCCGAGCCAGCTCTGACCAGCGTGGGTGATGTATGGTCACAAAGAAAGACTCACATGACCAACATGACATCGGGAGGCTTTTTACACAGCATTGGGCTGTCAATTATTTTACTGTCAAATTATTAAGAACGTATATTTCACAAACTCATCATCGCCACCATCATCATTGTCATCATTACCACGAGTCGCAGCAATAGCAGCATCAGCAGGGAACATTCCTACAGCCTCATCAGCAGCAGCACCCAACATCTGGCTGCACGTGTTCCCGTTCGTTTATAAAACGCACATCTGACGTTTACGCCCGACGTATCGACGTTATCGGCGAGTCATTAGCCGATTTTAAGAGCGGCCTCCTCTTGCGGCCGTTGCTTTAGCGGGAGACACGCTGGTGGGGGGCCAGGGGCGGGAGCAGCACATTTTGATAAATGGGATTCATTTGGCGCACACGGAAAGAACGGGGGCCAAACTTGGGGACGGTGGCGGTGGCGGCGGCGGCGTTAATTGTGCGGCGGCGCACTTCGTCTTGCGAGCGGCCGCCGTAGAACGTCGAGAGGTGGAAGCTTGCGGGGTGCTCCGCAGGAGGCTTTTTTTTTATTCTTAATTGGCTCACGGGGCTGCGTCCCTAATCCTTCCCAGTTAGCGCGCGTCGAGCCCGGGGCTCGCTCGCCCGCGCTTCGATCATTACGGCGGCGGCGATCGCCGCTAGTGCCTTTATTAGGAGGGCCGTATCCGGGGCGATATGTGCGCCACTCGCGATGACGGCTGTTACGCGGCTCGCTCGGTAATTGTTTCCCCCCCCCACCCGTTCGTCTCCTGTCCACGGGGCGCCCGTGATTTTTTCTGTGGCGCACGTGCGCTGATGAGTTTTGCCCTAATAGGATCAGCGGCCTCCTGATGCTGAACGTGCAGTCGTGTTCTTCCATCCCGCGGCTCCATGATGAAGTGTGCTCGGGGGGGGGGGGGGGGGAGGCGATTACCGATTCCCGGTATGAGAGGGCCAGGAATCGCACACGGGGTGTGCATGTTTAAACGTGTGTTCTTATGAGGTACCAGTTGCAGTGTGTAAACATCACGGCCGGGAAGACAAAAGCGGCCGGGCGTGGTGCTGGCCACCCACCCCCTCGTGTGCTGTGCTGGCCTTCATAAGTCTTCTTCGTCGTGTCTCCTGTCCAACCGCTTCTGGTCTTGGCATTGCAAAATGTTGAGGAGTGCATTATGGTGCTGCAGTGCATCTCGGGAGATGATCCATGGTTTCTTTTCATAGGTGCTCGCTAACAACACTTCATCCAACAATCTGTTAAGGAAACCGGTCGTCTAAGTTCGATTCCCACTCACGACCAATAACAGTGGCGAATATTTGAACTTGTCCTGAGCCTCCCCTGGGTTGACTCAGCCTTAAATGAGGATTGTACTTGGGCTGGGGAGACAAAGGCCACCACCACCACCACCCCCTCATGTGTCCTGCCGCCGTTATACGGTGCTTGCTCAACTAGTCCGCAAAAGGTTGTATGTTTGACGCTCTAATCATTTCATAGCTAAGTCAACCTAGAGGAGGCCCAGGTCCGATTTAGATATCACTCGCCGCTGATGCTAACCGTGTCCAGCAATCGAATTCAGGTCGTCGGGTTCGAAGCATCAGGGCACGAACAACCCGCTCCACAGTTCCACACAGACAAAGATTCCCCGTATAGCTCGCATAGACGGTTGGGGCAAGCACTGTGCGTGAGTGCCTATGAAGGCCGGCACGGCACACAAAGGGGTGGTGTGACCAGGAGAAGCCGAAGACTAGTTCACGAGTCGCCATGGTCCAGAATCGAACGCCAGTCGTGTCATCAGTGTACTAACTAATGTACTATTCAACGTCCGTCCCCTCAAAGCCAAACATCCCCCGTGTAACCTTCACCAAGCTGTTGATGAAAGTTTTGTTTGCAAGCACCTATTAAGGCTGGTTCAGCACAGCAGGAAGTGGATGGGCCAGCGCCATGCCCCGTCACCCTTGTCTTCCCAGTGCTGATGATTGCACACAATGCACCAGGTGCTCATTTAAGGCTGCGTCGACCTCACGGACGCCCAGGAAACATCCAGATATGAACCACTGTCATTGGTCTTGAGCGGCGAATCGAACTCGGGTCGCGGGGCTCAAAGCACGGCGCGCTAACCACGGCGCCACCGGCTCCCCACAAGACTGTCGGGGCAAGTGCTGTTAGCGAGCACCGCCCACGCACACG